ACTTGATCGGGACGGGGTTTTGCAACTTGCCATAAATAGCGAAAATGTTCACAAATTTAAATAAAGTGTGAAGAAAACGACGTGTGTTTGTTACGAAACGTGGAGGTGTTACAGAGCAGGAAAGGTGGAAAACGTTGTTGCATCGGTGGAGAGGAAAAGGAGGGAGAATGAGAAGTGCTTGGGAAATAGAAATGGAGAAGTAAGCGATAATAGGTGGAAGTCACCACGCGCCCTCCGGGCCACCCTACGCACGCCATTCACGGGCGCGATCCTGCTACTGCACCACGTGGGGGCTTTTGGCTGCTGAGTTTCCCCCCTGACCCATTACACCCCTCCTTAGGCAACCTGGAGACCACTACCTTCCGACAGGATCCCCATATCGACGCCGCGCTTAGCACGGACGCCCGATCCACATGCGCGCACGCAGGTTGGAGCTCCCAGCGACGGCAGTTTCAACCACCCGGCCTCCAAGTTGCTGGATTACAGGCGCACGCCGCTACGCCCAGCCGTTCAGCGATGTCAGCTCTTTTGCACTTACACGCTCCTCTCGCAACTCTTCTCACTCTCAGCCTCAACAGACGTGTACTTATGATGATCAAAATATTACTAGCACCTAAAACTGGCTGAACTAATGGAGTCAATGTGTATTTTCATTTCGTTGACCGTTATACGCGACCTCCCCTCAATGATCTCTATTCACACCTATTTGTTCACATCGACCTCCAAATCCAACTCAACCATTTGCTCGGCAAGTCAGGATGGATGCATTTCTCTTAATATGTCGTTCATTCATCGAAACGGAGTGCACAATTAGGCTAGTTATCACTGTATATGTGGAAGGTCTTTCTGTAGTGATTTTATATTTATAGCAAATGGCAGGCGTTTTGATAGTTATCATTAGCCCTTTAGTTGACTTCAGGGATCACAGAGGGGAAAAAAGTCGAGGGGGAGGTGGAACAGAGGAGCGTTTCAAAGATGAAAATGAGATACAAAGATAGGAAAAAGGTGAGTACTGTGGAAGTCGGCGAATATGACATACAGTGGTGTGATGGTAGTTTAAAGTCAGAAATCAACTGCCGATTAATAGACTTTTTGCCATATGAGTATACGTTGCCCAGGGTGCACCACGTGGAGGTAAGTCTATCACACACCCCCTGTAGTGATTGTTTGGTCCATTACCAACACTTCATTGATTTCTCCAATTCGAGCAAACAATCCCACCTTCCGTTTCAGGTCCCTAGTCTACTTTTAGTGAGCTTCTACCTATCACAAGGGATAAAAGATTTAGTCCGATGTACACTTTTCCGTACACGGCATTGGAGCTACTTAGCGATTTTCCTTTGTTTAACTTCATTGAATTGTAAAATACATTCTCATTACCAATAGCCACTTCTCAGTTCCCTCATCATCTTCTTCGAAAGGCAGTTGGATGACAGCGTATTATCTATTTTGGGGAGCCGTTAGAAATTTCAATTCGAGTTTGTATAAAAGTTGGTATCTCTGGGAAACGCAAAATATCAACCACTGAAACCAACAGCACACGCTATTTGTGGTTGTTATAGAGCGGAATATTCGCAAAATTCTTCCAGAACCGCGTCCAAAAGTCTTAACGCACAGCAAGCTCCAGAACGGCCTATATATAGGAATGAAGACATCACGCAAACACCCTAACTTCGTTATTTGCAAATGGAAGCTTTTTTTACGGCCGTTGGAGCCAGTTTGTAAAATGTGGATTTATGGTTCACTCTTTGAGAGGGAGTTTCGACGACAGGAATCGGTGCTCGGATGTTATCCCTAAGACTTTACCGGCATGTTTAATACTCCTAGGAAAATTCTAACCCCCCCCCCCTCCCTCCAAACTTCTAACAATTAGTTAAAAATCCACGTGTTGACCAGCAAGCGCCCATTATAATTCCCCCCCCCCAATTAGCATCTCCCCCATTTCTTATTAAACTTACGACCTATCCAAACCTACTCCCTTCTTGATTCTTTTAAATCCACTTTTGAGGAGCTTAGTCCTATCCTATTACTAAATGCGCAATAACAGGCAAATCAAGTACTCAAATACCTTAGAGGAACTATATGTACCAGGTACAAAGGCCGACGCTGTGAAAAAATGAACTAACAACCTTGGAAAAATGGGTATTTCCAACGGCAGTAGCAAGATGACGTTGATCAGAGAGCAGACAACTACTAATCGTCAATGACACCAAAAGTGAATTCACGCAACAACAGTACTTTAACGAACATCGCTCATCTATAAGTCTAGCAAACAGCGTCGTTATAGCACAATTCGACAAATTACAACGAGCCTGATTCCACCACTTCACGTTTTTTATCAAAACCCAGCTACCAGCACACAGAATAAAAGAGCAAGTTTAGAAAAAGGGAACCAGGACTAGAGTCTGCGTTTAAATATCAGTGTTGCTAAGTACACAAAGCCTTATAAACTGTAATATTTCAAAAGGATCCAATGAGAGAGGCCTTCAGAAAAGTGATAAGTTCCGACAGAGTGGATGAGCCAACACATGCGCTAAAAACACAGGTACATTGAGGAGAGGGAGGAGGAGGAGAAGCAAGAGCATGGTGGAGCGATTGAACGCGGAGAAACGCATTTCCTTTCAGAAAGTTGGCTGCTTATACTGTGGTAATATTCGCATAAGAACTTCCTTATCCGAGGCAGAAATACGATCTGGATAGACAATATCAAATTCCACAATTATATCACCCCTTCTATTGGGCTCTTTTGAGTAGGGCAGACCTTGACCACTTATTCTTCTAGTAGTGCCCGGCTTGATAACACAATCATCCACCCTAAGAGGAACTGTACGTCCATCAATAGTAGGTATCTGGATATTTACACCACAAAGAGCATCTCGAAGGGCAATTTTAGCTATGTAACGCACGTCGGCGCCTTCCCGTTTGAAGTACTTGTGAGTACGGTCCTTAACAGTGAAGATGATATCTGCGGGGATTGTATTAGCACGTTCGTCTCCCTCACGTGGAAAAGTGATACGAGTGCCAGATTTCCAGCCCTTACGAACGTCAATTGTAAGAACCTTCTCTTCTGTACTTCCATCGAGTTTATGACGAGTGATACGCATCTTCTTGGTAGTTCCATGGAGCACGTCTTCCAAAGAGACACTGAGATCATGGTGAATAGGGGGATCCTGAACTTTGCGGGCTCGGGATACACCTCCTCCAGCACCTCCTGAACTCATGAACATCCCCTTAAGTACCAAAAATCAATTAGTTAATTACTACCATGGCTTTAAATGATCATTTCAAAATGACGGGTGAAAAGTTAGACATCTGACAATTTTAGCCTTATTAAACAGTAAATATCAAATAGTTAAAACATTCTAGTACGTCCGTGCGTGCAGCCACCTCCTAGTTAATCAGCGATCAAGTTTACGCATTATCAGGTAATGTTTAATATATTTAATAGGTATGCACGTTGGCTAACAGTCAAACATCTTTAAGTCAGAGGAAAATTATATTCCTTACTTTCACGACAGCAAGATTAAATCAGTTAAGCGACGTGAACCCTTAAAAGAATACTCACCAGTTCATTATTAAGTATTGGTATCTTCCTTAAAAGATAAATTTATGAGATGAAAAATGTATAATTTTCACGTTCTTTTAAATTTCTCAATCTACCATTGTTCATTCAAAAGACTTTTCAAATCCCCGCGATGCTCGTAAAACTGTCATAGTTCAAGACAACCCAAATATCCACAGCTGAGCGAGAACAAAAGACAGTTGAACATTTGCGACCAACAGCATTTCTGGGAAGAATGAAGTAGTACCCAACTTAAAGACAGTTTGATTGACAATCCTGAAGGCTATTCTACATCTAAAAAATCGCTGTGTGCAACCATGAATCTTAGCAAAACTAAAATATTCAGTAGTATATAACATAACCTATCAAAACATTGCCATAGCAAATGCCTCTAAATCAGTTAGTGTCATTGATTTCCTGGCTCTTGAGCCTATATCTTGATCACGCAAAGGAAAAAAAATTCGATGCCCCTGTGAAGTATCAATTCAAATGTTCCCAATACTCTCATCCCAACTGCTTCTTCATAACCTGTAGAACCGCATCCACAAATCGCTCTATGCTGTAAATCTCTACTTAATCACATCCTAAATCGTCCCTTACTCAATCCTCCCCAACACTCGCTAATCATCACCGTAGTTTATTTAGAGCACTTAAGTAAACACAACTCTATAAGGAACCACTGTTTGCCGAATTATAGCCTTAAATGCTATCATTTGGTTCCAGTCCATTAGTTCAAATAAGGTGTTAAATCAACCGCTACAAGAGCACTATATTCAGAGCCAACAGTAAATCGTAACTAATGGTAATGGGAACTTCAGATGTTATCAGATTAAAATATATGATGACATCATATTATTCATCACGGAAGTGATAAATAAAAAAAACATGAACGTCTGTATCAGGACTTAGAAGTAAAATAAAATGAAATAGAGCAAACAATAATAAGCATGACATCAGGTCAATCCTGTGCAAAGATTCTAATGCAACAGAGAACTCTGCAGAAGAACTAGGAACACCAAAACGTTAGAAATACGATTTTCATAATTGAAAGGACAATATGGGGAAAATCATACGTAAAAGTGGTTCGAGTTTAATACAAATGATTAGAAATTAAGATAGGTTCAGAACTTATGATGAGTAAAGATCAAGTCTCAAATAAATAAAAGCCAATCAAAATGCTGAAAGGGCAAGATTTCGAACAGAATTAGAATCCGTACACTAATATCAAATGGCGAGTACCAAAAGGAGACCAAGTAACATAAGGGTATTCGTCTACAGCCAGCTGTTTAAGTAACGAATAAATACCATAATGGAAAATTAATTTGAAGATAATGAAGAGGTAAACCTATATCATAATTGTCCATTCAAAGAACAAAATTCGCAGTTTTATGTCAGCACGAGAAGCTGGAACTCCCTCAATAACACATTGAAACGTTGATTTAAAAGTCAATTATTTTGCTTCTAAAAGTTTACGGACAAATGAACGAAAATTTTATAGAGAACAGGGCCCAAAATGAAGGACAATAAGTGCAGTTCAGCAAAATATTCAAAAAAATAAAAAACTGATTAGAATACTAGATTCATATATCTAAACAATTAAATGTATATAATACAGGTAAAGAAATTTTCTCAATAGTTAAATAAAACTGCACATTTAAAGCCAATATCAATCTCTAGTGCTAAATTTTATGCATTGTAGAGAGAAATCTTAAGTGACGAAAACAATTAACATCATAAGCGCCGCAGAACTCGTGGTGAAACAAAGAGAAGTATATGCGAAAAAATCGATTTTACAACGAAAATCCCTGAGTAAAATTAATTGTGATAGAGCAAGCCAAAAAATGTTGCATATGCTAATAAGTGCTTAAAATATAATATAGATACAAAATATGAAAATGTAAAAAATATAGTCCGAAAAGAAAATCTTACACCGAAAGGCATCCGACCAAACATATCACCGTCTACATCCATGTACTCTGCACCCCTTCCACCACCACTATTACCACCGAAATTCATGAAGATATTGAAGGGGTCATCTGTGCCGAAGAATGTTCTGAATGTTTCACGGGGGTCGCCACTGAATGTGTAGGTAGTTGTACCGGGACGACCACTTGGGCCACCAATACCACCTTTAAGTCCCTCTTCACCATACGTATCGTAGATCTCTTTCTTCTTGGGATCACTCAGGACTTCATATGCCTCGGCAACCTGCTTAAACTTTTCCTCAGCATTTGGTGATTTGTTTTTGTCGGGGTGATATTTGAGAGCCATCTTTCGATAGGCTTTTTTGATATCATCCTCACTCGCACCTTTACTGATTCCTAATACTTTGTAATAATCAATTCCCATCTTTTCTTGAAAGTTTTAAGAAAATACAGAAGCAAATTAAAGAGAAATTACTAGAACCTTCTAGTAAAACTTTCTATTGGTCAACTTCTCCACTTTTCATTGGATAAAATATTCCAAACTGGATGCATTATAAGAATAATAAAGTGTATGTCTTGAAGCAGTTAAAATAACTTTAAATTTTTGAAAAATATCCTTTGATCAAAGGAATATTTGTATTATATCTTTAAACACTAAAGATTTCAACTTTTTCTACTCATTTAAAAAAACTAATTTTTTTGATTTAAAATTTGAAATACGATGATAATTTATGCAAAATATATTATCAATAAATGCAATTATATTTATTTCAAGAGGATTAATATATAAGCAAAAGCAGTTTTGATTTTATTTGTATATTCTCCAAACATAATTTCGCAAAATAGTAGCTTCACTATTATTATATTTATTTGCAATCTGCAGTTCTAGTAAGTCTAGTGACTGCATATATAACCTGCAATAGCACAAAACATTGTTTGGCTACAATGGAGCTACGCTTGTATGCTAAGTTTATATAAAATACTTTCGTTATTGACCACACATGATTGCTTAAGGTCCCCACAACATTAGGAATTGATATGCTGATTTTAGTTCTCTCTGATCGACTAGTCAAGGCGAAGTTTACATAGCTTTTAAAAGATAATTTGAATTACTTTCATATTGCATGCCACAATCTTAACAATTCTCTAGGTCTAAGTGGACAATAAAATTATTTTGATGAGTCATTAAAAACTTCACATAAAAAAGTTAATAACATCAAAATTGCTCATACATAATCATGATAATTTTTGCGTTTGATTGTGAACACAATCATAACTCTACTGTATACTCGATAAGAGAAATTTCATAAAATACTTAATGCTTAAAAGTTAAAAATAAATTTTGATATGTATTTTGGTTGAAATTTTGGCTATACCCTCCAGAGTAGATCAGGCCGTATTTGTTTAGATATTTCATTTGGTATTAGTGATTGTGAACTTTACGGTGCATCCGCCATGTCTTCACTTTCTTACTCCCAACTTATGGTACGCTTCATTCAATGTTGGATAATTGCGTGTTTATTTAATATTATCGCTTGAAATACGTAAACATTGATTTTAATGTTAATATGGTGGTCATGCTCTCTAAACTTATTTTGTGTTCCTTTTTTAGTCTAGCAAGAGAAAGGTGAGCTGCTTCGTACTAACACTATATATTGTTCTATATATGTTATTTTTATTATTATCCCTAAAATAGCGTGGTGCTGATGCAGAAACTGTAAGCTCTAACGGAGAAGAGCATGCATCGGCAATGGATATTGATATAAATGATAGTAAAAAGTCAAGGCTAGATCAACAGGAGTCGTCTCCTCCATCTTGTGTCATCCATATTCGAGGTCTTCCTGTGGATGCAACCGAAATGGACGTAACTCTACTCCCCATCCCTTTCGGCTACCAAAAAAATATGGTTCTGTCGAAGCGAAACAGTCAAGCTTTAATTGAAATGGAGTCACTCGATAGTGCAGTCACTATGGTCAATTACTACAAGCAGTATCCGGCTGGCTTACATGGTCGTCAGTTGGTACTCCAATACTCAAAGCATTCTCATTTGGAGTTGAAAGCTGAAAACACAATGATGACCCAAGCCATTATTCGTGCTAACCAGGTTGTTCAACAAGATCTCCCTGGAGTTAATACGGGAACTCCAAATACTGTTCTTCGAATCCTCATTGAAGATATCATGGATCAGCAAATTAATCATATAATTATTTACAAGGTATTTTCGCTTTTTTGCCTTATCCGTCTTATTATTCGTATTGTAGATCTTTCATAGGTTTGGGAAGATTTTGCGCGTTATTATTTTTCTAAAACACGATCATTATCAAGGATTTATCGAATTTGAGAACCATATCCAGGCGTTTGTTGCCATGTTGGTATGTTAGTGCGTTTTCGGTGACTATTGTTCTTTCCTCAGCATTTAAATCGCCAAAATATTTATACGGGTTGTTGCACCCTAACGGTTGAATTTTCTAAAAATCGTGGTCCATTGGAGATACGTCAGGAGAGTCAAAAGTGTCGTGACTACGTTCTCAATCCTTTAACTGAGGAAGAACAGATGAATCTTCGTCGCTTACCTGCTGCAGGAATGTCCCATGGTAATGGTGGGAGCCATAGTGGTCATGGTGGTCATTCTGCCTTTGCACCGAATTCTGTTGTTGCTGCAGCAATGTCTCAATTTGCTAATGTTACAGGTAGTCCAACTGTCCTGCATCCTCATCAACAAACACCCACCGCTATGGCTTCTCCGTGGATGGGCGCGGTATCAAATAACAACGCCTGTAGAATGAATGATATGACGTCGCAGATTATGGCTGTCGCGCAGAGTGCAGGCATCCAACTCACTCCAGCCGCGGCTGCTGCTACTGCTAGTTTCATGTCACTCTCTGCTCAAGTAATTACTGCCCGTATTTATTTTTTTTTCCAAATCTGATGAGCTAATTGTGATATTTTATGTCTACTTAAATTACACTTTGCTGGGGTTAGTTTTTCTGCAAAACCGTTAAATCGACGTTAAAGAAGTCAATGACCCATGATGGATGTTGCAAATTTCATATATTTCATGGGCTCCTATTGATGAGATTGAGTACGTATCTGGCCACCGTAATATTTTTTACGATTTAGCTAGCAATGTCTTAACTTATGAATTGCTATAGTTTCTTCAGTATTTTACAATTTGCTCGAAATTCGCTCGGTTTTCTGCTTATTTTCAGTGAAACTCGTAACCACTGCTAATTGTTATTAGTAAGAGCAGTTTATAAGGTTCCAGAGTGCATATTGAAGTTATTTTGTAATCGTTATTCTGATCTTATTTGCATAGACGGCTACCCGTCGAATGACGACACTACCGTCATGTGTGCCTATTAGTATGATGCATCTAAATAACAAAAAACGGAAGATGATTTTTATCAGTACTTTTATTAGTTCCATGAATGGGAATATTGCAAATGCTTTAAATTTATTGTATAACCTTCCTTGCCTGAGCGTTCAATGGTAGTGTGATTCATTGGGTTTTTTGTAGGTTTTAAGCGTTATCTTTACTAATAGCGAATGATTTTATTTTAGCACCTCCTATATATATATAATTTCTTTTATCGTATGATCCATTATTTTTCCTCTTTCTAGGGTGGAGGGTTTCCCAATGCGGCAGGGGGTCCGGCAATTAATCCTACTTTGGCTAACCTTTTGACCTTTTCTGCACTTTCTGGTGGTGGTGCTACTGCTAATCAAGGCAATGCAGGTTCCGGTTCACGTAGTGGTGGTGGAGGAAGTGCTGGCAACGGGTCCTACTCCGGCACTGGTTCTCTCCAAAAAATCAATGCAGCTCAAGTTGCTGCTGCGGCTGCTCAATCTTCATCTCTGGGTTTACGTTTGCCTATCAACAATAATGGGAGTACTGTCCTCATCGTCTCTAATCTCAATGAAGAGGTATGCAATTAATACTGTCTATTAGATTAGATACTTACAATCTGTTACTGCTAATAAGTAGTAGTATCTCTTCTGCTGCTGCTTTCACTCTGTATTCTTGCAGAGATCGCTTGTCTCCACTTACTTCTCTTTTCTATTTTTTTCTCCTTCTCACTTCACAATCATCATCTGCGTTCTCGTCTTCGTGGCTGTCGTGGTGGCGCGACATTGCATTGTCTCTCTTCTCTACCTCTTGTCATTTATCCTCCTCCTACACACCTTATCCTACATTTCTGAAAAAAAACTTAATTCAGCGAGTGTATCCGGATGCCTTATTTACCTTGTTTGGTAAGCCATCAATCTGCCTATCTATCTCTCTTGCCACTTTTTGTGTCCGGGTTGTTTTATTTTGAAAGTGCGTGTTTCTCCCTCCCTTTTCGCTCCCATTTTTTACTTGTTTCTCATTCTGACTTGTTAAACTTAGCTTTTTAGTCGTAGCGATGTTGGGTTTTCCTTCCCTTTTTTTATCAATGCAAATTAAATTTTATTTCGACCCCGCTAGGCGTCTACGGCGATGTTATGCGCGTAAAAATCATGTTTAACAAGAAGGATACCGCTCTGATTCAATTCAATGACCCCCAACAGACTGTTCTAGGTAAGTGATCTTAGAGTATTTCCAATGGAAATTCTCGTTACTCGAGCCTAACGCTTTAATTCACTTCAGCCATGCAGTTCCTGAATCAAAAGATGCTCTGGGGGCAGCCTATGAAGATTGCAATTTCACGTCATAACTACGTACAATTGCCAAAAGAAGATAAGGATAATCATTTGACAAAGGACTACTCCAGTAGTCTACTTCACAGATTTAGAAAACCTAATTCAAAGAATTACCAAAATATCTATCCACCAAGCAACGTTCTCCATCTTAGCAATATTCCCCCGAGTGTTACTGAAGATGATGTCCGAACCCTCTTCCGTTCGAAGGGCTTCGAAGTTGTGGGATTCCGTTTTATGCAGTAAGTTGACTAACTTCATTTTAAATGAGTTTACAATTAGTAGTTTTGTGGAAGTCGAGCAGTGTTACGATCCCTGGTATTTCCCATATTAGATTCCATCAAAAGTATCCCGAACAGATGTAAGTTTCTGTGTGCTTTGAGCTTATTGTTAGTACAATCAGACACATTTGAGCAGCACTGCCTTATTGAATTAGATTAACACCTCGCTGGTGCGCTTGCTGTAAAATATAGGTAGCTCGTAGATCTCTGTTATTACAATTAAATACACATCTGAAGTTTATAAGAAACATCTTAACGTAGTTTGTGTTTAAACTTTAGGAAAGATAACAAGATGGCTCTTGTGCAGTTGGAAAGCGTTGAGGGAGCAATGGAAGCACTTATTGTAAGTCTGTCCAAACTTCGCTCTCATCCCGCTCTTTTCGTTTATCTACTTTCTTATTATCTGATGTCAATTTTAGGCTCTTCACAACACCCAACTGAGTGAGAATTCGCACCTACGTATCAGCTTTAGTAAATCCGCCCTATAGCCTGTGCTCTAAGTGTGCGTTTCTTGTCGCATGGGAGTTTCTCACTTTCTGATGGTTTTTAGCCATTTATTGAAAACTTATTAATTATTCAATTGAATATATTTTGAATTTTCAAAACTTTGTACTACGAGGCTTCGAGTTCTATAACAAAAGTGCATGCAATGCGGGCGTGTACATAGGATGGGGTTGGGGTTAATCCAAGTTCTTTCTTTTAAAACCGGAATGAAGGGCATCGTAGATTTTCTCTGCTTTTACACTGCCTATTCCTGGGCAGCTTTCAAGGGTCTTTCTGTCCGCTTTTGTGATATTTGAAATAGTCTGTAATTGAAGGAGATAATAGGTAAAAAAGTGGCTTAAATGTTTTTGCTTTCTAAACACATTGTAAATCAAGACACTGAATTTCATTAATGAAAATGCCAGTAGGAACATTGAGCAAGTTTGTAGTTAGCAAATAGGAGAAGTAGACAGAATTAATGAGTTATGAATGGGCTAGTGCAATTAAAGTACCCATGGTTGCATTGTGGTGTAGAGTCCGACAGTTAACCATGCACCAAATAGTGATTTCAAACGGTATGTAATCGGTTGGAATTCTACTCTCGAGTTAAATATTTATTCTAGCAAGCTAAAGTATCAACAAGTTAGAAAGCTGGGAGCTTGGTAACTCATTTCAATTCAGATGGTTGAATCAAACAATTTGGCCATTAGCTTTCAAATACAGTGACCAAATTTAGAAGATTTCGGACGAATCATTTGTTCGAAGAGCAGTTGGCTGTTGGTATGAGTTGCCAATGATGGGAATTTACTCCGAGCAAGTTGCGGTGAGAAGCAACAATCAAACGAGCGATTTAATAGCATTTGCACTTTTTGAAAATTTTTATACTGATATTTCGATGAATTACATTAATTGAATTAAAAATACGGACTGGAGGACTCGGCAGCACTTTCTTTTCTGAAGATTTTTTCATCTGAAATTTGGTTATGGAGGTCCTAAAGCGTTCCTAATAAAACCAGTGAATACTAAAAATGAGGACTACATAATTTTAGTCAGTCAGATACGGAGTTTAATTAGGTCAATTCAATTTATGAAAAACGAATAGGTGTATAGATCGAAAAATTTGAAGTCGCCTTAATAGGAGTTGGGATTATGTTAGTCGTCTACGCACAACCGCTTTGGGCAAAACAAATGCAAACGTCAAATTGGTACCAAGCCAAATCAGGCCACTGATTGTGCACAGAGTGGAACTGCTAAAACTCAGTGAAAACATGTTGACAACACTTATGACGTAGGTGGCCCAAAAAGGTGACAACAATCGATCGCAATACTTTATGATGAAAAAATTGGCAGATGACCAGTGATATGACATTCTCCAGTTAAATGCTTCCCATAATGAAGCTGAAAAAAACAAACGCCGAATACCACATCGAATGGGCTGAATTTTTTTTAAATAGTGTGTGGCCAAAAGTGGGAGATATTTTCACACCACGGCTTATTTTCACGATTCCGGGCCTTCATTTGTTCTGACACAAGGTTACACAGTTTATCTCAAAAACAAGTTACCGAGGTTTCCCGAAAGTCCGCCCATTCGAATAAGCGGCTACTTGGGGATAAAAGATAACACGCAGTCTTAGAGATTTTCACTATTTGGAAATGAAGCTTGACTCGTCCCATACGGGATGAGTCATTCCGAATGCACAATACGCACAATACAGTATATATATATATATATATATATATATATATCTCCACATACATTTATCTTAGGAGAAATACTTTACTTCTGTATTATAGACCATGGGCGCTTATTCAAATGGGCGAGTTATTTGATTCCATGAAATTGAATTTCCGGATTTTTTGGAAAATGCCAGTACTATTGGTCAGTACCAATGTATGTAGAATTAAGATGTTGCAAGAGTTCAAAAGATAGTTGAAAGTGTGTTTTTAGTCAAGAAAAAAATGAACAAAGATGAGTTTACTGCAAGGAAGTTTCGATGGCTCACAAGACACTTTAACAGTACATAAACATATGGTAAAGGCTTAAAATAGACAACCTTAAAATGGTTGGAATGATAGTTAGACATTCCAATCACTCCTGTAATAATAAATGGATCTAAATTCTGGAAACAGCAAATTGCTCATTTCTATTCCATCAACTTTAGTCAGCACAAACAGCAGTCGATGTTTTTAACGACCTTGAGGAATGTTGCTCGCTGAGTCATGCGGCCACCTCTTTGCTCTTATGACCACCTTACAATTTTTGCAACCTACTAGATGCGGACTATTTCTTTGCCTTCTTTCTATCCTGTCTGCAATATTTATTTATATCAAATGGCAGGCGTTTTGATAGTTATCATTAGCCCTTTAGTTGACTTCAGGCTTCACAGAGTGGAAGGAACATCAAAGTGAAAGAAAGTCGAGAGGATGAGGGGGGGGGGGAACAGAAGAGCGAGTTAAAGATGTAAAAGAGACAGACAGATACAAAGGTGGAAAAAGGTGAGGTGAGTACTGTGGAAGTAGTCGAATATGACATACAGTGGGGTGATGGTAGTTTGAAGTGAGAAGTCAACTGCCAGGTAATAGACTTTTTTCCCGTATGAGTATACGTTGCCCAGGGTGCACCACGTGGAGGTAAGTCTATCACACACCCCCCCCCTGTCTGCAATATAGATTGGAGGAAAATGGAAGGGTATTAAATTTGCAAACTTGTGAACTATCTGGGCTAAAGTTAAATAGTCAAATACCAGAGTTGATGGTATAACGCGCTTCTGTTTAGTGTTTCACCATAAGCAGCAACAAGTATTTATCGATTAAACAGGAAATCTAAACATGAATTATAACGTTACCCCATATTGGCACATGAGTTTACTGCGTATATTTGATTTAACACACCTGTATATGATTTATGCGTTTTGTCCCACACTGCT